CAAAAAGATCGGATTTTTTCAAAAAATCGGAACTGAGCATTAAGACCTGCAGTGTGAACGTAGCCACAGAGGACCGTGCTCAACTTGTGGACTAAAAGCAGCTTTTGAGTTCACAGACAACTCTGGTTACTTTTATAAAAGTTACATTAGCTACATTAGCTCGTAGCTGTGCTGCTGATCAGCGCTTTTTTTAGAACAGGCACGGAGCTGCTGACTCCCGGTCACGCGGGTCTGTGTTGGTGATTCTTGCTGTATCTGAGTAACTATTGATAAGGTAAACAAGCTGTGGCTTCACCAGTTGTGTTTTCCTTGAAAGAAAAAAAAAGTAGCTTGCAAAGCTGTAGCATAAGACAGTTTTCATGGCGCGTCGCATCCCACACACATACTGGTACATGCCTTGCTATCTTTGTGGGGACTGACCACACACAGCACTTACAGCCTCGCTGCGCACAAGAACCCGCAGTGTTTGTTTTTCAAAATAAAATATGTCTTAACTTTTCATTGACGTTTAAATAGGGTTTCAAAGTCTGATTATGGTTAGTATAAGAGCACAAATACAGGATATAAATATATTTACACAGTTTTAGCCTAATATAGGCCTATTATTTAAAAAAAAGAAAAAACTTTATTCTGAAAGTGTGGCGGCTATGATTTTTACCGTGGCGGTGCGCCACGATTAATAACATGTAGGGGAAACCCTGGTGGTACAACTCACCCTGGAGATTGATTGTGCAAATAAGAATGTGTTTTTTTGTTTTTATCTGATCAAGTTATGTAATTCTGCATTTTCCTAGTTTCAGGTTTTGTTTTTGTTTTTATTTCAGAGACAAAACAGGGAAACTTGCTTTGTCACCCAAACAGAAAGCCATCTTCTCTCGCTGGGTTCGGCCAGATGAGATCAGCAATAATCCCACCATGATCATGTCTGTGTCCAGCTTCAGCATCAAACAGGTCAGATTAGCAGCTGGATGCTGTGTGTCTGGCGTAGGCTTTCGTTTGCACAGTGCTTTTAGGTTGTAGAAATTTAATTTGTTTATTTTTTTAAATAATTTTTGTTGAAATTATGCTTTAAAATAATTTCAAAGCTTCAACAACTTTTTTCTGTGCTTAAGAGTTGATATTTCTATATTTTATGTGCACTACTTAAATGTGTCCAGTAGATGGTGTAGCATCATCACAGTTATTGTAGCAACTTTATGGTAGATCATTTAAAATTCCCTTAGTTTTATACGGGTATAGAACCTAGATTTTTTTTAAATAAGCCATACACAGGTGACTTTTACAATGTTTGGTAAGGTTTTGATGATAATAAATGTCTCAATTTGGAGCTTTTACAACCCCTCAGAATGATGGTTTCTTTACACAAAATTACCTTTTGTCTTCTGCATCCAGTTGATACAGTTTTGTGTGTGCTCATGTTTAGACTGTAGTCTCTGACTGTTCGTTTGTGGCGTCACTGGCAATCAGTGCTGCTTATGAGAGGCGCTACAACAAAAAACTTATCACCAGGTACGTGATTATCTTTTATGTTTTTGGTCCTACTCTTTGTTTCCTTTTTAAACCTGAGATGTAAATACTGGTGTGTTTTTTTTTCTTATGGCCTTTTATAAATGTAGCTACATAATGTTTTACATCTTCTTGTTAAAAACAAAGCAGTGTGTTCTCTGTTAAGCTAAGTGCTGTTAAAAATATGTCTGAAACAAAACAAATGGTTTCTGTTGTCAAACAAATAGCACCAAGATCTAAACTTCATTTTTCTGTGTGTTTTGTTTGTTGCAGCATCATCTACCCTCAGAACAGACGAGGGGAGCCAGAGTACAACCCATGTGGAAAGTACATGGTTAAACTTCACATCAACGGAGTTCCCAGAAAGGTTAGACTTCTAAACATCTGTTACTGGTTCATCTTTACTGATCTAAGGTCAGGAGAAGAGAAAAAACAGAAATCACATGGACTAAAACCATAGACTTAAATATATAT